GGGGGGGGGGTGCAAATTCGTCATTGCACCCCTCTTTCAGAAGAAAGGGGGGTGCACCTGCACCCTTGCACCCCCCCCCCCTGGCTACGGGCCTGAATGATGGGTTTCTTTGTTATTCATGACCTATACATCAAGTATAATAATTTTTAGATAGATTGATAGATTCATTGTCATTAGGTAAGACTATAAAAGAGAAGTCGAAATTTGTATTTGAATGCTTTCACAAAGATTCAGCCTGCTTATAAACTCATAATTTTTTAAGATAGAGTCGATTTTGAAGTGTCGCAACGCCTTGGGCTTAGATTTTACCGCTCTAACTAACTTATGCTTTTCAGTAGCCTTTTACATGTACATTTTAGCACTTTAAAGCACTTGTTGCTAGATTTGGTTTTAAAAAAGCAATTGGCAAAATTCTCATCGATTTTTGCTTGAGAGCGTGAGACCTTTAAATCACAGAAGTAGTAGATATAGGTCTTTTAGTGGAATCTAGAGATATTATCTTTAACATATCTACATATACATATACATATAGTAGACGATATAATGTATATATATATACCTATTCATGATTCTCATAGTAGATATAGGTCTTCTAGTGAAGTCTAGAGGAATTATCTCGACCAAATCTCCATAATAGAATTTTAATTCATCTTTATATCTTTGCTCCAACGGAAAATTTACCTTAAAAATTAAGAAATTGAAAAAACGTATGTATAAAAAATCTTTAATTTCTCTAAAAGATAGCTTCTGAATTTTGGATTTTTGTTCCGAATTGTTTTTATTCTTATTATGAACACTTAACACAAACTACTTTTGAATATTTTAAATTTGATGCAATTTTAAGACTTGCTTAAAGGGAGTGTTAAAACATAAAAGTTGGAAAACATTAGTAATTATGTATATAAAAAATATATCAACATTATTCCTTATTTTTTAAAACAAGAATTCAAATTTAAACATGAATAATCATCAATGCCTTAATCATATATGAAAAATAATGATTTTTTTCAAATTTTCCGCAAACTAGTTTCCGATTCATACGCGTAGAAGCAATTATTTTGAAAAACTCTAAGTAGGTTCACTATGATGTTAAATTCATTTTACGAATAACAATTTGTGTAAGAAAACTTTTAAACATATATGAAGAAAACTTGATAACATATACGAAGAAACCTTGTTAACATATATGAAGAAAACTTGATAACATATATGAAGAAAACTTGTTAACGTATATGAAAAAAACTTGTTAACATATTTGAAGAAAACTTGTTACCATATATGAAGAAACCTTGTTAACATATATGAAGAAAACGTATTAACATATTGAAGAAAACTTGTTAACATATGTGAAGAAAACTTATTAACATATATGAAGAAAACTTGATGACATATATGAAGAAAACTTGTTAACATATACGAAGAAACCTTGTTAACATATATGAAGAAAACTTATTAACATATATGAAGAAAACTTGTTAACATATATGAAGAAAACTTGTTAACATATATGAAGAAAACTTGTTAACATATATAAAGAAAACTTGATAACATATATGAAGAAAACTTGATAACATATATGAAAAAAACTTGATAACATATATGAAGAAAACTTGATAACATATATGAAGAAAAACGTATATTTTCACAACTGGTTGGATTAAGCGTATGCTACAAACTCTGATTTTCTAATCCCTATATCTTTGCAACCCAACGTCGTAGACCTTAGAATTCTGTTAAATCAAATAATTTTAAGTTTGAAATATCAAAGCTTTACACCATCAGGTTGAAAATTATATAGGGATTAGAATATTTTAGTTTGTGGCAAATTACTTTTGTGACAGTTATTACTTCATATTTTAATTTGAGACATAAAGTAAGAAAATTGATTACATATTGGCAGTGTCTTAACTTAAATGTAATGTGTAAGAACATACAGAATTTGACCTAAAAACCGAAGATTTCTTTGTGGACATTTAAAAATAAAATTAAAAATTAATTCTCGCCTCAAACTCTTGTTTTCCAATCCTTAACTCACAACCTGGTGTTTTTAATCTCTGATGTTTCATATTCAAAATACAACAATTACAGTTTGAAAAATCACAGGTTTGTACCATCACACTCTAAAAAAATTTAAATTTTTATCTAATAAAATTTGTTGCCAGTGCTCAACAAATTATGTTGGATGAAAATTTCAAATTTTTTAGAGTGCAGTTTACAAAAATATAGAAAATTAAATCCTTTAATTTAAATCCGTACCTGTGAAAACAGTGCATTAGAGGTAGAAATAGTGACACCGATATCCTCGTTCATAGATTTTATAATCTGCTGGAACTGAGAGTGAACTAGACCCGTGTACCGGGGATAGCCTAAATGTGCAAAACTGTGCTAATAACCATAACATCACCATAACATCACATAGTATATATATACCTAAAGTTGATATCATCTCTTGCTGAATTTCTCCTGTAGTCCCCAAGAGTAGGATATTGAGAGCAGTTAGTATAGATATAGGAGAGAATAGAGAGTTCCCAGTTGAACCTTCGTAGAGTCTACTCCGTATTAAAGATTTAGTCAAGTTCCATACTGCATCGGAACCTCTGAAAAATAACATAATTTAATAATTCTAGTTTGGAATAGAAAGCTATTTTATGTTGTTACAAATCGAATACTATTAAATGAAAATTAAATAGGTCTTTGTTGGCATACCTCACAATGTTGTGTTTTGTTTTCATCGAATATTGAAAATTACATATAACTTGAATCTAACTATCGTCTTTCTATTCTACAGTTTTATGGGTTCCATCAAGTATAGGTATAGACGGCCAGTTTTGTTGCTAATACCCATTTAGGGGTTAAGTTTTACAACTTTTGAAGAAATGCTCCAATTTTTAGCATGAAACATCAAATTTATGAATTTAGTCTACTTTTAAAGGTTTTGTATTTTGTATCCAAAGGATCCTGAAATATCCCTGAATACAGATGTTTGCTGATTGGAACTGTACAGTATTGTACAAATTAGAACCTGCTGTAAAAAATTTTGCATGATCCAGCTTTCTATTGATCTCTCTTAAGTCTGGACACGGAGATCTGTTTAATTTCTACAGGGGAGGGGAGAAATTGAGAATGGGGAGTCAAGGGGAGGGGAATGAACACCTTTTTGTTTACATATCCATTACCTAAATGGAGTAGAGGGTAGCGGAGTGGGTTCGCCGAAGGAATTCCGTCCTGTTCAGAAACAAATAAATTGTATTTACTAGAAAATAAGACTTATTTTGAATTCCAAAAAAGGGAAAAAAATTTTAAATTAAATAGAATGTTTTTGTCATACATAGAATGGTTTCATTTGTTTTCCTTGAATGAAGTCATTTGAGCTAAATCTAATCTCAAGCTCTGTAAAATTAGATATTCTCATAACTTCCTAAAATAAATATAATTAGTACATATTTATACTAAAGGAATTGAGTTTTTGCCACAAACTAAAATCTTCTGATTCCAATATCTTTTCACCCTTATGGTGCAAACCTTTGATATTTCAAACTTAGATTATTTTATCTATAAGTATTAATAGTTTGAAATATCTAAGGTCTACGGCATTGGGTTACAAAGATATAGAGATTAGAAAATCAGAGTGTGTGGCAAAAACTCAACTCCTTTAAGGAAAAATTAGTAAAAATATTGTCAATATTGATTACTATAGGTTTCCAGGTGTTCATATACTTTGAAATAATAACTATAAAAAATATCGCAGACTTTGGTTTATAGCGGCGGATTTTCCATTTACTTTTAGCAAACATTTTATACACTGACCAGCCAATAACCTTCCCTTGGGTGACCACAAAAATTTTTTTTAGTCATTTAGACGCTGGATATAAAGAAATAAAAAATGCCCCATCAAAAACATATTTATATAAATACGTAGATGATTTTACAATCAAAAGCATTGTTTTTCTGCTCTGGAGTATTTCTTATTAAAAAGAATTTTGACTGAGTTCTCTTTTTTTGGAAAAAAGCAATGGCCTAATATTTCAAACTTATGGATTAAATGTGAAAAGAAAAGATTAAACGATATTATTTCTTTACAGAAACATCTAAACAATAATGTTATTGAATAAAAATAGAAATATTCTTTTGGAAATTATATAAGTCTAATAAAAATTGAAAATCAATTTTTAGAAAAGATAAAATTAATTGTGAGATGATTTAGCTGAATTCTTTATATGATTCGATTTCTTTTCTCCTCAACAGAATGATATTATAAAATTTTCTAATATTTTAACATCAAAAAAGAAAACTACACGTTTTTCATCATAAATTCAGTTTTTGAAAACTAGATGAAAACTGGATGAAAACTAGATGAAAACCAGATGAAGATAATGAAAATTAATGAAAACTAATAAAAAATAATAGAAACTTATGAAAACTATTAAACTAATAAAAAACTAGATGGAATTAATGAAATCTAGAAAAAAATTAGATAAAAACTAGATGAAAACTAGATAAAAACTAGATGAAAACCAGATGAAAACTAATGAGAATTAAAAAAAATAATCAAAACTAATTCAAACTATTAAAACTAATAAAATACTAGATGAAACTAATGAAAACTAATAAATGATAAATAAAAACTAGATGAAAACTAGATGAAAACTAGATAAAACTAGATGAAAACTAGATAAAAACTAGATGAAAACTAGATAAAAACTAGATGAAAACTAGATAAAAACTAGATGAAAACTAGATAAAAAAAATGGATAAAAACTAGATAAAACTAGATAAAAACTAGATAAAACTAGATGAAAACTAGATAAAAACTAGATAAAAACGAGATAAAAACTAGATGAAAACTAGATAAACTAGATAAAAACTAGATAAAAACTAGATAAAAACTAGATAAAAACTAGATGAAAACTAGATGAAAACTGTAACCTCCATAAGCGGATCAATCTGTACTAAAGGAGGAGGACTGCGTACACGTTCTCTCTGTATAACAACCTAGTTAAAAAAGAATTATGTGCTAAACATAAATAGAGGAATTTGTCACCAATTTGACATAAATCCCATCTAGGGATTTCTAACAAGTTTCCATCAGGCTAAATTGTAAATATAAATTTTCCTACACAACTATGTAAAGCTTGCTTTTCAAATATTTTTGTTGTTTTTGATAATTTGCGATTTTCCTTATAAAGAAATTGATTTCTTTAAATTTGTTTAAATTCTTAATTGTTAAAGTATTGATTTTTAGATTTCAAACTTAGAATATTTGACCAGAGGCCCAATTTAAAGAATTTGAGCCGCGGCTTAAATTTAAGCCACGGCTCAAATATGGTTGGTTCCACTTAAAATCAACGTTCGTTGTTTCAATTGAAACCGGTTTTTGAGGGATTTAAGACGCGGCTCAAATTCATTGAATCCGGGCACAGAACAGAATTCTTAGTTTAAAATATCAAAGGTCGACGAATTTTGGTTGCAAAAATATAGGGATTAAAAAAACAGATATTTAAATTTTCTTTTCCAAATTTGAAATTTCATTGACGGTGACTTCGGGATAAAAAAAATAAGTAATATTTACGTTTGAATTGAAGTGACAACTTAACATCTTATTTTTATGATATTCTTGCAATTAATTTTGTAATTTTTTGCTTAAATTAGTATATCTTTTCATCTGTTTTTACTAGAGAAGAAATATTTTCTGTTACTACGTGCAAAACAATGTTTTTGGAAGGAAAACGTACAAACTTAAAAACAGACTCTTAGAGGGTTTCAGTAAATTTTTCAAAACAAAAATATTTTTACATTTTCGAATACTGTATTGATTATATACAGTGGCAGCCAGAAACTAGCTGAATAAAGGTCTTTCTTTTAATTTCTAAAATGTGCACTGAACCATTTTTTATACATATAGACGACAACACTTTTTCTGTTTGTACATGTTTATTTACCAATTCTTCTATATCTGAATTATCTAGAAAACTGCCCCTGACACCAACTGACATTTCCTGAATTAGAATATAAATATTTAAACAAGTTCTTACCAATTTAACATACATAAATGTATTTAAAGGAACTGTACGCGGAATTTTAAGGCACCCTCATCAATGCAAAGAGGTGATACCGTTGAAACGTTTAACTGATCATGAATGTGGAGATATTGTTGCTTTTCAAGATTTAACCGTGTTTTATTCTGATAATTCATATATGTTTTCCCGCAAAAGAAATTGCAAGTACTTAACCAGACACTAATTTTAAGAGTACTGTTGTGAATCGGGCATTGCCATCTTTGCAGGGAGAGACATTTGAAATTTCGCTTGCTGTCCCTTTAGTCTAATTTATGAACTTTTTCGATCCTATTCTCTCTTTAATATCTAGAGACTCCTACAGGGTGTCCCAAAAACATGGAAATAATATGAAACTTCAAAAATAATTTGATATATTTCTCCCCTGGTATGTAAACAACATTAAAAGTTAGCCATCAAATATTGAGACAGCCTCGTCACGGGCCTCGTCTTTAAAGTATTGGTTTTACCTCTCTAACTCACTTATACTGTTTTGTAGCCCTAAATATAGATATTTCAAAAATGTTTTTAGCTTAAGTTTTAAAGGAATTGTTGACAAAATACTGTTAAATTTTTATTGAGAGCGTACACATCTATAGTTTCAGTAGAAGTAAATATTTCCATTCAGTGATAGCGCCGATGGAAGAATTCATAACTCTGATTGGATAATAAGAAAGATAGATGTGACCGCCATGCAATTTCTATTGGTTCAGAATAGACATCAAACACATGACTGAACCCTGATTGGATCAGGCGCTAATGGACTCAGCATACAGGAGTGGGGGTAAATTACTTACATTGTTTTCTTCTAATCTTCGTTCTAGCATACTCTGTCTTATCTTCTTCCAATCACTAGGGAAAGTAAACCCATCAACTGCGGTGTAAACCACCAACACTATGAAATTTTGATCATAAACAATCATTTGTTGTTAAATATTTAAATCCTATGTTTATACGTCTTTTCTTGATTAAAACATATGATAAATACAGTAATAACCAGAAAACTATAGAATAGGAAGACGACATTTAAGAAATTTGATGTTAAAAAACAAATAGCTTTACTAAATACTAATATTGTATCAAATCACTTGTTAAGTGAAATGGGCCTGTTTACACTGCACAATTACTGTGCCTCGAGTTCATTGGACTATTTAAAGTTATAACTTGAATCCAAAAGTCGACTTCCTATTCCAGAGTTTTCTGATTATCCCTGTATATGTTATAAACGTCAGGATTAGCCGTGGGAGTTTACGTCAACAACTTACGTCATTAATTTGTTCAACGTAGATAATTTTATTTAAATGGAAATATGAATCTCGAATTTGTCGAAACACGTGCTGAAAGATGCAGGGTAAATAAACATGGGAATTTGGTTATTAGGAGCAAAATGACTACTAAATGTTTTAATCACAATTAATCTTTAAGTCGACACTTGAGATCTTGAAAATGAGATCTGCCTTAAAAGGGAGTGTTTGCGAAAAATGAAATGGGGTATAGGCTTCATGCGATAAAAAAGCGCTTTTGATCGCTACTAATCTTACTTCTATCTGTTGCGTCAATAGGGAAAAAATTGTTAAAGACGTCTCATACCGAATAACTTACCGCCCATACAAATTCAGAAAATTGCAACATACGACTTAGACTGTAAAAAAATCAATTTAATTTCAAACAAATCCTTCAGATATTACAACCTATAGTCATCGATTATCTTTCGCCACATTTGTGTATAGTTTATATTTTATTTATGAGACGTCTTTAACAATTTTCTCCTTATAGACGCAACAGATAGAAGTAAAACTAGTAGCGATCAAAAGCATTTTTTTATCGCATTAAGCCTATACCCCCTTTCATTTTTCGCGAACACTCCCTTTAATCATAAATTGTAAATGATTTTCAATACTCAATAATTGGATCGATGTTTATTATCTAAATTCACAACTAATTGTTGATCTTTTTTGGTTTTGTTTTTAAACAAAATATTTGGTAAATAAAATATATATTTCATTTCATTCAATACACAAATTAGAGTCAAATTCAAACGCACAATAATAGGATTTTTTGAAACGTTTTAATGAAAAAATTATTTTCTTTGATCTAAATATTCCTTGTAAAATTATTGAACTGCTCATAATGAACAGTTTGCTCTTACTGAGACTTTGAATATTAAAAACATATGGACGGGAATCTTTCAGACTCAAGATTCTAGTTTCCAAAGTGTTAATATATAAATATATAAATATATAAATATGAAAATGAGTTCTTAAACATATTAGTCAAGGATAATATATTGAAAGTACACTTGAAAAATATCTGGCGTCTGTCGTCTGTTGTCTGTTGTCTGTTGTCTGTTGTCTGTTGTTTGTTGTCTGTTGTCTATTGTCTGTTGTCTGTTGTCTGTTGTCTGTTGTCTGTTGTCTGTTGTCTGTTGTCTGTTGTCTGTTATCTGTTGTCTGTTGTCTGTTGTCTGGTGTCTATTGTCTGTTGTCTGTTGTCTGTTGTCCGTTGTCTGTTTTCTGTTGTCTGTTGTCTGTTGTCTGTTGTCTGTTGTCTTTTGTCTGTTATCTGTTGTCTGTTGTCTGTTGTCTGTTGTCTGTTGTCTGTTGTCTGTTGTCTGTTGTCTGTTGTCTGTTGTCTGTTGTCTGGTGTCTGGTGTCTGGTGTCTGTTGTCTGTTGTCTGTTGTCCGTTATCTGTTATCTGTTGTCTGTTGTCTGTTGTCTGTTGTCTGGTGTGTATGTTCTAACTATTTTCTTTATTTGATTACTGAAGATATATTGACTTTATTATGTTCCTTTAATAAAGATAAATGGAATTAAGCTATTTTTATCTTTTCTTGTTTTATATTCAAGGTTACCCATAAAGGATGCTACTTCAGAGACCACTGTATTGAACCTATATCTGATAATTTATATTTATAATTCCCTTGTTATTATCAAATCATGTAAAGCCATTAAAATACTTTATTTAAATCTTTTTAATAAAATTTCCCTCAGCTTCAAAGCGAGTATTGACTTCTTAAAACTGAGAAAGTTGTCACTGAAAACCCAGATGTTTCACGCAAGAACGAGCAGTATTTTGCCAATACACTTCTTTTAAACTCAATGACCTTTAATTAAGTTTATTCCAAAGAGGAGTAAAAGTTGTCAGCTCTCCCGCAAACATCTGTCAGATCTGACGCAAACATCTCTCAGATCTCCCGCAAACATCTATCAGATCTTTGCTAATTTCTTCTTAAAAGCTAAAGATAAAAACAAGTGCTGTAAACTTTTAAATGTAGATGTCTAGGGCTACTCTAAAGTATAAGTGAGTTTATAGTTAGACACGTTCTTGAAAAGAGATGCACAATTGTATCGCTGTCTGTCGCATAAGTATTTTTTCTATTTTATTTGTGGATTTCCAAATTTTTAAGAAATACGAAATGTTTAAAAGCAACAGATTTTAAATTCTGACTGACCAAAAACGTTCCAAGTGAGTTACAAGAACAGAAGAGCAAGCCTAATATATAAATAGATCAAAGCTGAATTATTAATGCATAAACAGGGTGAGTCGAAAAAAAGTGTGATTTGCGGCGCCTGGTGCAAATTTTCAAATTTTCAAAAAATATTGAAAAAAATCACCATACAGGAAAGTTGCACAAAAAAGGTACACTTTTGCACCAGGCGCCTCAAATCACACTTTTTTGACTCACCCTGTAAATATTCGTGTATACAGTGAGGTGTTTAGCTATTAATACTTTATAAAGAAAAGAACCATTAATAAGTCTATTAATAATCCCAATATTAATCACAAGTATAAAAACATGAAAGAATTCTATAGCCTGTTTAATTTATAGAAAAAGAAGGATGCTAAAAATGCATTTTAAGATTACTTGAAAATAGTTTAAAGGAACCTTACGAAAAGTACATTGGTTGGAAAGGAATTGAGTCTTTGCCACAAACGCCGATTTTCTAGTCCCTTTATCTTTTCAATCCAATATCGCAGACCTTATATATATAGTATACATCAAACTATGATTTCTGTTAGATCAAATTATCTAAGTGTGAAATATCAAAGTTATACGCCATCAGGTTGCAAAGATATAGGGATTAGAAAATTTGAGTTTGTTGCGAAAGCTCAATTCCTTTGGAACCTAATATGCAACCTAAAAATTGTAAAACTTTAAGATATATCCATATCATACGATTTGATCTAGTAACATTGATTGTTTGAAACATCTAAGGTCTACGACATTGGGTTACAGAGATGTAGTGACAAGAAAAATAGAGATTGTGGCAATTACTTCAGGGGAAATTAGTTCCAAACCTAACACTTGGCCCATTTATAACATTGACTATTATAAATGAGCCAAATTTGCAAAGTTATCTTTTTCAAGAGTATATATTTTTAAATCACAACCAAATTTAACAAAACTACACCATACATTTATAAAAAAATGACTGAAAATACTTATTGAAACAAAAAATGTCCACTTTAAACTAAAAAAAGGTGTGAGAGTTATTTTTTGATGATATTGGTTTTCATTTTAGAACATATCCCTATTTTGAAACAATTACAGCATTTCAGCTCATGTTACGTTTTCGGAACATTTCTTGGTTTTGAGACAATTACCGGAATTCATCAGTGTCAGTTTTCAAGTATTTACGCACTTATGAAACAAAACAAGATTTTAGCATTGAGAAATCAAAATTTAATATTATTTTGTTCTTATAATATGGATTTAACTAGAAATCCGGAATATTGTTATTGAGTTTTTTTTTCTGAATTGAGGATTATACTCAAAAACGGGGAAGTGGGTTTTGTCTCGAAAACGCGACAATGTTTCAAATTCAGGATATGTTTGAAAAGGGAAAACCTGACATGGTCTTGAAAACGGTCAAGAGTTTTAATATAAAAATAACTCTTTTTATAATGTTGATTTAAAAAAATTTAATTTAAATTCGGAATTGTTGTTCTCGTCATGATTAATAAAATGTTGGTTATAGTTTTAATTATCGACTTTTACTCTGGATATGGTTGGGATCCTAAAAACCCAGTATTTTGATTTGTGCACATTTTAACACTCAGTGTTAGAAATGGGCCAAGTTTTAGTTTTGGAACTAATGTCCCCTGTACTTAATTCGAATTGAATTTGAAGATGTCAATTTTTTTTAATACTCTAAGTGCAGCTTTGTTGTTTTAATGGTTTGTTATTGTCATTTAGGGGGGAAAAGTGCCAGGCAACGATAAGGATTGAGAGAGAGAAAACAGAGAGAAAACCTAAGAGAGAGAGAGAGAGAGAGCGCTAGGAGAATGTTAGTAGTGAAACACCATACGAGTATTCAAGTATAGAATATCAAGAAAGAAACACCAATTTGTTTACAAAAAAAATACGCAATTTATGGATGGAAAATATACAAAATCTAGGCTAAACAGCGCTGAATTGGTTTACTTTCCTGTCATAAACTTCAGTATATTTTTATTGTAAATATATTTTGGAGTTTCTGTCATATCTTCTTCTTCTTGTATATAAATACCGCTCTCAATATCTTCGGTATATTTATAAATATAATAAGAATAAATACTGTCAGGCACAAACTGGGCATTATGCAAATCTGTCTGTCTCGTCTGTCCGTTTGTATCCAATCAACGTCATAACGGCTTCGAATGAGCCCAGGGACCTAAGGAATGTTAAAATTGAAAAGTTCAACCGGAAGAAAATATTGACTTTTTGAAAATGCGCCAATATAAATAGGAAGATGCGCAAACATTTGAGAATGATTTAAAATGGCAACTTTCAGAGAAAGTATTAGAAGTTGAAATGGTAGATAAGGCGCAAAATCAATCAGTTACTTTATATTTAATCTTACTGTTTAATGTTCATGGTGTGAACATAATATATTTACTTTAAAATGGTTTATTTAAACATTGGTATAATTATACTGCAATATAGCTGTTTAATTATGTATGTATAATTATGTGTAATGATACAGTCAGACCCAAAAAACTGCGGAATGGGGAAGACGACTATCATGATTTAAAATAATTTATATAATTAATAGTTCACATCACTACACTGCTACTCGAAAAAATATGCTATATTATATAAAACCACCAAAAATATACATAAGATTGTTTTAATGTCCTCTTTCTTGCACGAATTTCTTTGTCTCAGTGTAAAAAAGAATAACGTAATCATATATGACTATATAGTATATCACTGTGTCTGTAAAATGTTTATAAATACAAAGTATTCAGATTATTTCTTTTAGTCGTGTTCTGTAATTGTTTTCTTTATTAATAAAAACTTGGTATTTTTATCAAAGAATTGAGTTTTTTTCTCAGAAGAATTTTTATTGAGCTAAAAAGACCAAAATGAAAGATATAAGGTTACAATTTTACAATCATAGGACATGACCCTTTAATGATTACTAAAATATTGTGATTATTTATATCTGAATGTAAATTTGTGCAGTAAGTTTTTTTATTTAAAGGGACTCTCCTTGCAATTATGGCAATGCCCGATTTACAACGGTACCCTTAAAAACTTTGTCTGATCAAGTATGAATTAGATATTAAGATGAATGACGTAATATTACCTTGGTAATTTTAAAGTGAAATCTCAAGTTTAAAAGTTTTATTTGTTAATATATAATTTGTTTCTCTAAACTATAAGTATAAAAGTTTAGGTCTTACGTTGGAATATTGTAAAGTGATAACCTTTAACACTAAGAAAATAGACACTAAGAGTACATTTGAATTTCCGAGCCGGGTCAACCTTTCCGGTCCCAGTTTGTACTGTACCTAGCTTTATGGACAGGACTAACTGGTACAACAAGGTTGACGCGGTCAGACTTTATGCTTCATATAGGTTGAATTTACTTTAAATTAAAAGGGCAGCGGTGCGTGGGAGTAAGTCCAATTTATGCAACATTACTGATGCGATTTTGTGACCTCATAGCTCCTCTAATTATGATTTTGCGCCAATTATGAGAAAGTTATTTTATCTGTCACATAGTAGAAATATTCAAAACGTTTTTGTGCGTTTCAATTGATCTTCTATAAAAAAGTTATGTTTTAAACATTTATCAAAAAAGAAGATGTTTTATATTAAAAGAAGGCGTTTGTATCCTAAAATAAGTAGGTTAAATCCTAAAGGCAGTTGTTTGAATCATAAAAGAAGTCATTTGGAGATAAAAAATTGTTTTGTGTT